ATGAACTCCAGCTGGCTGCAGTGTGGGGGAGGGGACCCTCTTCTTCCTGAGGGGCCATTGGAGAAGGGGGCGCCCTCCACTCTCAATGGGGTAGCAGGGCTCAAGGGGGGTGATTTTTGTCTCCCAGTCCCCCCCCCCTTGCTCTCTGCCCCCTCCAAGTCGCCCTGAACAGGCCCCATCCCCACCTTGGGAGGGACCCTCTGTCGTCACTCACAGGGGCAGGGGCGCCAAGCCATCTGGACCTCATTACCTCAAGCCTGGCCTCTCCCGAGCACAGGGGCCGGGGAAGGGATGGAGTGTGAGGTGGCGTGGCAGGCGGGTGTGGGGGCGTTGCTTCCTGCGCTGTGGCCCAGGCCGGCTCCCATGGGCTGGGGGCGCCCACTGCAGGCCCCGCGCCTGACAATGTGACCTGGGGCTGACCGGCTGCATGCGGGTGAAGGGAGTGTACCGGGGGCCTGTCCTCATACCTGTGTATAAAGGGGTCTTTCTTGGGCTCTGTGTGGACATTTGAGTTGAGCTGTGTGGGAGCGGGCCCTGTGTGTACACGGGGGGGCGGGGGAGAAGGGGGAGAGTGAGTGCTGGGAGGGGGAGGGGAAGCTTGTGGCTGTTTGTGCAGGCGTTTTGTGGGAGGGAGTTTGGGGTGTAAGCATCTAGGTATGTTTGGTATATGAGGGTCTCATGTGTATCTGGGGGCAGCCTGTGTGTGCCTGAAGCATGACTCGGGAGTGTGTGCTGTTGTTTGTGTCAGTGTGTGTGTGTGTGTGTGTGAGAGGGGGGGGCTTGAGGGAGGGTGTGTGCAGTGTCTGAGAATATGTATGTGTTTGGGATGTAAGATGGGAGAGGACCAGTGTTCCGTTGGAAGGGTGTGTGTGCCCTCTCCCGTGTGTGTGTGTGCATGTGTGCCCTCACCTCTGTGTGTGTGTGTGTACCCTCTCCCGTGTGTGTGTGTGTGTGCGTGTGCGCCCTCACCCGTGTGTGCGTGCGTGTGCGCGTGCCCTCACCTCTGTGTGTATGTGTGTGTGTGTGTGTACCCTCTCCCGTGTGTGTGCGTGTGTGTGTGTGTGTGTATGTGCTTGCACTGTGCTTGGGGCATGGATGTGTGATTTAAAGTGTGGGTGTGTGTGTCCTCACCTCTGTGTGTGTGTCTGTGTGTGTGTGTGTGCCCTCTCCCGTGTGTGTGTGTGTGTGTGTGTGTGTGTGTGTGTGCTTGCACTGTGCTTGGGGCATGGATGTGTGATTTAAAGTGCGGTGTGTGTGGGTGCCTGAGATGGGGGGTGTGCATGTGTTGGATGTGAGTGGAATTTTGCACTAGAACATCTGGGGACATGGAGGTGGTCCCGGCTGAGGGGGAAGGGATCTGTCCCCCCTCTTCCCCCAGCCGCCGGCCCTCTGGTCTTTGGGATTTGGGTGACCCTCAGGGCAGACAGCTACCCACATCCCCAGCCCTCCTCAACTCCCCCATCTTCTCAACCCTCTGCCCCCCACGCCCCGGCCCCAGCTCCAAGCTCCGGCTCTGGGATGGCGGTCGGTCCAGCTCTCCAGCGACGCCGAGGGTCTAACCCAGCCAGCCTAACCAATGTGCAGACTACTGTACAATTTGCGAGTCCTGAACAGATAGTCTAAACACTGGGTAGACGGAGTGGTCCATCCAGGCGGTGGCAGCTGTCGTCGGGTGGGAGCTTCGGCCCGGCTCCTGGAGATCCAAGACCCCCAGCCCCAGCCCAGCCAGCCCAGGTCCCCTCTCTGCTCTCGGCTCCCCTTCTGCCTCCTTTGACGTGGCAGGGGTGAGCAGGC